GGAACTGATTAAGAACTTCTTCAATATATATATAACCAAATGAAATTTAAATCATAACCTTAAGTTTGTTCCAAAAATTTAAAAACAGTTTATAAAAAGATTATAAGCCATTTCTATGGCTCAGATAAGCTATTCTAAATACTCCCTTTATTGTTGAATTCCCTGGACTTGGTAATCAATTTGTTATTCAATAAAAGACTAGAAACTGTATTATTTTGTAGAAGTTTCTTCTCAACGTCCAGTCACAGCCTAAACTATATTATATAAGGGGTAGCAACTAAACTAGGAAAATGTACATATGGAGGAAGTGAAAGAAATAAAAAATTACCCAAAAAGAAAAATTAAAGCGTCAAAGACGTGTAATATATCAGAGAACCTTGAGTAGCTTAATGACAACTAGAAAAAGAAAATGTAAGCACACGAAAACGAAACAAACTAGACATGAAATATAATTCTATCGAATGAATGAATTCTAAACTCTATCTTTTCGTACTTCAAGAACAAAAAAATCAAAGCGTTTGTTGGATGGGTCCCAATAAATACCAACAGTATCGTACAACTTTAAGTCCTTTCTCTTAGAAAAATCTTTGTTCCAGTTTCCCGTGAAAACATAAGATTTTGATCTTTTCTGAAAAATGAGAGAATGTTTGGTCTTTGTGTCAACATCCCAAATGTCAACTTCATATCCTTTTTCCATCCGATCATCAGAAGCTTCCAACACAGGAAGCACAAATCTCTCTGCTTGTCGTTTCAACACCAAGAGTCCCTTATTCTAATCAAAGAATTGCAACTGCTTCTTGATTTTCCAAGGGCCTGCTTGTGACTCCAGCGTTCCTGGATCTGAATCATGTTCCTGTTCCGTTGTTTCCAAATTTTCTGGAACATTTTGCGGATTCATGATTGCCATAAATTGATCTAGCACATTTTTCTGTTCCATTGTTGGAAAATGTTTTGACACATTCTACTGCTCTATGGTTGTCAAATGTTCTGGCACATTCATCATAGTTTCAAAATGTTGTAGTTGTAGCACATTCTACTGTCCCATGGATGCCAAATATTCTGGCTCATACTGCATGGTTTAAAAATGTTGTAGTTGTAGCAAATTCTGCTACTCTGTAGTTGCCAAAATGTTGTGGTTGTAGCACATTCTGCTGACCCATGGTTGCCACATTTTCTGGAAAATTCTGCTGCTCCATGGTTTCTAAATGTTATGGAAGATTCTGCTGTTCTATTGGTTCCAAATTTTGTTGAACATTCTGCTGCTCTAATTCTACCAAATTTTCTGGAAAATTCTGCTGGTTCTTTATTGCCAAACATAGATCCATCAGATTCAAAGGATCCAGGGTTTCCAAATATTGATCTAGCAGATTCTGTTGGTTCATGGTTGCCAAAAGTTCCAGCACATTTTGATGCTGCTCCGTGATTCCCAAGAATTGATTTAGCTGTTGTAGCACCTTCTGCTTCTTCATGGTTGTCAAACGTGGTAGAAGAAGCACATTTCGCTGCTTCATGGTTGCCAACTGTTCTGGCACATTCTGCATGGTTGCCAAATGTTCCATCACATTTTTCTGCTCCATTGTTGCCAAATTTTCTTGCACATTATGCCGCTCCATAGTTGGAAAATGTTCTTGCACATTCTGTTGCTGTGTGGTTGCCAATTGTTCTCGCACATTCTTCATGGGTTCAAAATGTTGTAGCATATTCTGCTGCTCCATGATTGCCAAATATTTGGGCTCATTCTGCATGGTTTCAAAATGATCTGCAAAAGTCATTATGCTCTCCCTATGTTCATTCTGCATGGTTACCAAATATTCTGGCACATTCTTCTGCTGCATGGTTTCTGAACCTGGCACATTCTGCTGCTCTGTGTTCTTGTGAGTGTTTCTTTCCCT